AGGATTACCATAAACCAAACATGAATTTTCCGCTTCCTTGTTCTTTCTCATACACGCTTTTTCTTTTGAAAATGAGCATTTTTGGCCTATCAACTGCTGTTTTCGGTGAAGTAACATTTTTGCATATTCTTTTGCAGAAGACTCAATTGCAGAAGGATATCAAAGTTAACTTTGTTTGAGTTAGTTTCCAAAATTTTCAGGTTTTCAATATTCAATGCGTTTATGTTGCTATGGTTTGTTGATTGTTAGTATACCGCAATACGTTTTAAAATATCATGTTGGTGAACTCATCGTGAAATTGTTTGTTTCCGTTTTTCTGGAGAACGATGGAATGGCTGAGAAACCAATGAAACCTCCACATTCGGAAAAAAAACACAATTCATGTATCTCTGTTTAGTGGTCTCTACCCATGAAGAGATTATGCAAGCACACAACTACTTTCCAGAAAGCAGCGGAAAGCACAAACTGCCTACTATTTTGAATGAAAACATATTAAGGTCATTTAAGAGAAATAATATAGAACAAGCAGAAAGCTCATGTTCCCGTTCGCAGTTATTTTCGGCTTTGTACTCTGCCGCCACAACCGAAATGCTTTAACTTTAATTACTTGAACACTGTTGAATCCTCCATGCGTCAAAAGTGCCTTTGTCTTGGAGTTTTGCAGGAGATCCGACTGTGGTAGCCATTTGAAAGTGTGAACGTTTGATGGAAGTTTGTCTGCAAGTATATCAGGCATATCTCAATCAGTATACATCTTACGATTTGCAGTAAATAGATCCAACAAGATACATTGACAATAAAACATAGGAGAAGAAGAAGAATAGAAGTAGAAACTTGTTGATAGGTAGACAAATTACGATCTCCGGTATTAGGGTTTGAAAAATCAGTAATACCTCTGTCAACGTTTCAGTGTGCTAGTAAATGGGGGAATTACGAAGAACCCACCTTGCAAATCTGTTCCTGCATATCGCCATATGAAATGGTAATTAGGAAAACGTCTGAAAGCTTCAATAAAGGCCATTTTCCATGTTAGCGGCATTTTGTGACTAGGAGCTACCGAGCCGAAGGAAAACACAATTACGCCAACTGCGACATCATAAATCTTTTGAAACTCCTGAAATCATTTTGTGTCTACATATGTTTTGAGATGTCGTATGTTAGAAATTATTCTGACATTTGCATACCAATGCCAGTGGTTTAGCATCTTCCAGCTGAAGTCCTATTCCTCCGATATTCACCATTTTTGCAAGCGTTGGTTTGGGAAAGTCATAGAGTTCGTTTGTGTTGACCATTACCTTCGATTCAAAAATTTACCACTATTAAGGTATAGTTATATTGCATGAAAACATTATATAGTTCATAGCTACGAAAGAAGTTGTTTGTAATACGCATTTGCATTTCAATCCTAATGCGAGCTTCCCGAAGATTTGACGGGAGACAGAAGAAATCGATGATTTATCTAAAGAAAGTTTTTATGCTGTCATTCTCCATATGCATATACCCATAAAGTGCACTTCACTATTATGGATCAACATTAGAAGGAGTGTTTTAGCTATAGCTTTAAACATCTTTAAGAACAAAACTAAGCAACTTGAATGGTCGCTATTCCCTGCTCTGCGGACTTATAAAATTGTTCATACGAATTTCACAAGCGTATTTGCGGATTGGAAATTTAAATCCGAAAAAAAAACGTAAGTACCAGCTTTTACACCAATTTCGTCAACGAATTCATGAGCTTAGGAAACAAGCGT